TCCTTTTTTCCCGCAGATGATCTAAAAATAAAAACAGAGAAAACAGAGAAAAGAAGATCGAGAGGAAGGAGAAAAATATGGAAAAATATAGGGACCAAACTTAATGTCGCTCGGAGGGATGAAGGTGTTGCGCTTGAAGAGATGAACGTCGCCATCGATCGAAGAGATGGAGGTCATCGTCGGAGTTCTCCGTCGCTCCCACTGCCGTTCGTGCACCCTTCCACGAAGACTATGGAGCTGGGAGGCAGATATTTTTTGGGTGAAAACTAAAGTTAGGTTTAAAAATTGGGTAATCTTTAATGTCGGGCTTGGCCCGTCATTAAAATTTTTATTTTTATTTTTATTTTATTTTAACGCCCTTTTTAACTGGTCCGTCCTTGTTTCCTCCAAGTTTTTTTGTCCGTTATCATTTCCTCCGTATTTTTTTTGTCCAACATTAAAACTCTGATTTGTTGTAGTGTTCGGAGGCTTTAAGATGAATAACACATGACCCCAATCCAGATGTTCTGACTTATGAGGGTTATAAGGTCAATGGATGTTGCTACAATACTAAATCTTGTGACTCTACTCGAACTGCTCAGAATAGTGGAATTAGTTTGGTTGCTACAACCATGCAAGTGTCTAGTGCAAAGGACAAAAACCCTATTGTTGCAAACATGACGTTCTTCGGAGTCATTCAAGACATATGGTAAATTAGCTACAACAAATTCAAAATTCCATTATTCAGATGTGATTGGGTGGATAGTTGAAATGGTATCCAAACAGATGAACTTGGATTCACTTTGGTTGACTTGAGTCGTATTGGCCATACATCTGACTCATTTATTCTAGCTTCACAAGGTAGACAGGTTTTCTACGTAGAAGATCCAGCAGATGTAAAATGGTATATCGTTATTAGACCTCCGCAAAGGGATGTAAATTGTGTAGGTTTTAATGATGAGCTTGGGGATACTTCGCTACATTGTCCTCCAACGTCGATTTAGACACCCTTCAGTGATAAAAACCATTTTGACTGACAACATAGAGGAGAAGATTGTAATACCCAATGATGTTCTATCACCCGTACTATTTAATATGAACCATACTATGCTTAGTAATTCTATGACTTCATTTGTAAGTTGGAATGCTTGTACTAATCTTTATATATGATATTTTCATGAGTTAAGTGATTCCCAAGTAGATGCATTACTATTTTCCAGATGTAATGCTTAAGGCGATGCGATTTAATGATTGTGCTTTGGTATACATATTCAATGGTTGGCCTAATCTTGTTTAAGTATATATTGTCAAACAAATTGAAACAGATGAAGGAAGAGGCCAAGTCAATTGAAGATAGTAAGCAGTCTGCTGGTGAGGATGTAAAAGGAGAGTCCAGCAAACGAAATATTCGTGGACGTACTCGGATGCACGATATCACACGTGCGAGTAGTGAAGGAAAGAAGAAAGTAATTCAATACAATGAAGAAGGGCAACCAATAGGTAAGAACGGGCATAAGTTGAGCAGCTGGATTGGGACGTGCGTTCGCCACCATGTCCCAATAATATATGACAATTGGAAGCTGGTTCTGACAGAGACCAAAGATAAGATATATTAGTTGGTTCAGGTATAGTTAAATTTAAAGCACAATATAGTGATTTCAGTGAGGCAGTGATCTTATCTATTTAATTATTATTGACAAAATATGGTGGATTCGTTGTTGATCAGAGGGCGAAGAGAGATATCTTGAGCTGTGCCAGTAATTTATTTTGTCAATATAAATGGAAGTTGACTTCCACCTACTAAACCGTTATCGCGATGATCCAACGAAGTTGAAGGTGGTTTCGAAGGATGAATCCCATATTCCACAAGAACACTGGGAAAGGTTTGTCCAGTCCAGACTTAGTACGGAATTCCAGGTACTCATTATGGTGTGATATATATTAGTACTTTTGGTTTAATGTATATAGACAAATGCATCTAAAACTGATACGAATTTATGCACTATTATAAAGGCTTTAAGTGAACGGAATAGAGAATTACGGGGAATGCATGTATACAACCACAGGTTGTCACGAAACGAGCACGCAAATCTCTCTGAAAAATTGGTAAGATACACCTACTAAATCGGATATCATATGTCTTGATTATCTTTTAAGCCATATTCGCTAAGTTTGCCTAACTTTGTATACAGAAAAATTCCCAATGTGAGGAAGACCTGAGGGATCGAGGCACGTTATGGAATAAAGTGCGTATGGACAAAGATGGAAATATCAGGGAATAATGTACTAGAGTTGTAGTCGCACGCATGATACGTATCGAGGTATGAGTATTTTGCTAAATGGGTTCATCTTTTACTTATTTTAATCTCATTCTACAAACGTAGGAGGAGATAAAAGTTACACAAAGTGAAGATGATAGCAACAACTGTCCAGGAGAAGATGCACTATCACTTGTTTGGGTACCCGAGACCGTCCTGGACAACTTACAGGTGTGCGTAAGTATATAATGAAGACTCAATACTATCATAAACCAACGAAACGGTCGACCTCTAAGTTGGAAGAGGAGAAGGTTTGTTCAAATCTCGAAGATTGGTACTCCAAAAGGGTTAAGGAGTTGGAAGAGGAATTGGCGAAATATAAACAAAATGTTTCGATACCAAGTGATAGTAAGGTGCAAGAGACAATGGAACGAGAAAAAGAAGAGAAGATAAAGGAAGGAGAAACAAGAGAGGAGGATAGTAAGGAAGGAGAAAAAACAGAGAATATAAAGGAAATAGAAACAAGAGAAAATGAAGTTAAGATAAAGGAATAAGAAATAGGAGGGTAGGCTACCGAAGGAGGAAATAGAAACAAGGCACGAAGAGGTAAGATTGTTATTTAGCTTATTTGTTCTTATCCTTTCGACACATGGCTAACTTAGACGACTTAATCATTTTCTTGTAGGCAACTAATAATGTGCAGAAAAATTTGTCCCTTAAGGTAATACACCAATTTCATTACTTCAACTATTATGAAAGTAACATTATTGACTTATTGTTGGGTGTGTTGCCCTAAAGTCATAGTTTGTATTATGTAAAAACAAATGTATATGCAATAAAGTTTTATTCAATAAATTTGTTGTTGAAACAT